TATATATATATATATATATATACAAACCCCATATTTTGTCCAAGCCGTTCCACTTTGAACTACGTTTGTGTGACTGACTTTTAGAAACATTCAACGCCTTTGAAAATGTATGTCCTAGCCAATCAAAGGATGCGGAAACGAAACATTTCAACCAATAAATCATCGACTAGTCTAGTTAGTCAAAACCTCTGCCAAACGTCAGTCTGTAACACACCCTGTGAAACTTGATATCCTTGCCAACTCTATACACATACCTCCTGACGTCAACAAGCTGTCGACGGCGCTCGTGACGGCTGCCCCCGACACAGACTGGTTCTTAGCGTCGTTGCTAAACAACGTCATGATCAAGTCTTGCAGTTCTTGGATCTTTTCCAGGGCATTTGGCGAGTGCACGGGGAGCAGCCACGCGCGGGCGGGCACGGGGGCAGCGGGGTCGTCCACATCCGGACACACGACCATGCTAATGGTTTCCTGGTCTAGGCGGTAGTAATGCACAGCCGTATCAAACGTCATGAGGCCAAACTGGGCGTGCGGGGACGACTTCTGGAGGGTTTCGAGTACCGACGGGAGCGCCGCCACCACAGACGCGACCAAGTTGCTCTGAAACGCAAATACAGACACGTCCAGGGCAAACACGACGATCTCTTGCTGCGCCGACTCGCGCACAGAGTACACGGACGGGACGACGAATTCCACGGATCCCCGCGCCAGCTCCATGCGGTCCGCGACGTCGCGCCGCGTCCCCAGCTGGTCCACGGCGCAGTAATAGTCTCGGGGGGTGTCGTTCTGCATGGTACAAATATTGCATGCAAACATCCGGCCGCCTTGAATGAACCGCGTAAAGCAGTTCACGTACGCCTTGCACCGGGTGCAGCGCAAGGGCCCGGTGCCCCCAAAGTCGACTAGGGGTACGGATAGCTCGTTTGGATCGAGTTTGGCCAGCGGACACACGACGACCCCCAGAGGCAACCCCGATGTTTGCAGCAGATCCTTGGACTCTGGGACGTGGTTCAGACTCGGGCGGATGAAGCGAGGACTGGCGCAGCCGTTGTCAAGGCAAATGTACTTTGAGTTGGCGGGCGGCGGCATGGTCAGCGTCGGACCTTTGGCCACGTACGTGATGGCATCGGGGCGGGAGAGCGGGCGGGGGATTTGCGTGGGGTCGATGCGTTGCTGGGTGCCAGAGGCAGTCGTTGCTCCAGAACTCTTGGCTGGTGGTTGTATTGGGGGAGTTGTCTGGTGGAAAGGGGGACCAGGAGTGAATGTCGGTGGCGGCTGGAGGCTGGGTTGGGGAGGAGGTCCCATGGGGCCAGGGGGCGGTTGAGCGGGGTACCCGCCTTGGAACTGCGGCTGCAGCTGATGGGCTTGTGGGTACCCAGCATTAGGCGGAGGCGGCGGGCCGCGAACGCCAGGACCAGGGGGGGGAGGCTGGTTCGAACCGTAGAACGGACCGTTCGCTGAAGGAGGGAAGCCTAGATAGCATGGACACGAAGGCATAGTTCAATACGAAGTAATACATGGTCATGAATATCGAAGCGGATAGGAAGGTATGTACCAGAGGGAGGTGGATGAGGAAATCCAGAAGGAGGGGGTAACCCTCCTTGTTGAGGAGGAGGACCGCGCGGAGGAAACGTAGGGGCTCCAAAGCTTCCTTGTGGAGGTGGAGCGCCATGGGAGGACGGTCCTTGCGTTAATGGGGGTCCCCGAGGAAGGATGCCCCCGGTCGAGCGCGGCGGCTGTTGCAATTGTCCTTGGAATGACGCGTGTTGTTGTTGCGGGGGAAAGGGCGGACCGGTGCTGCCTGTCGAATGTGGAGGCTGATGGGGATACTGCTGCTGCTGTTGCTGGTGCGGAGGGAAGTTGTTCCCAGGAGGACCACCATGCGGCAGTGGTTGCTGCGGGGGAAATCCACCTCGACCGGACGATGAAGGTCCATACGGTCCGCCGCCGCCGACCACACCGCGAGGAGGTTGTTCTGCATACAAGATAGAGAGAGAGATTCAAGTCAAATCACATGCTGATATGAGATCGAAAGCTACGATGGAACCTACGAGGATAGCCAGGGCCGCCTACAACATGGTGAGGCACGGAGGTAGCTAGGAAGGGCGCGTTACCTGGTTGCGAAGGAGGTCCTCTGGGGAAGCTTCCTACATCCATCACCCCAACGTCAGAGGTCAAGTTCACCAGATGGTTCCATGGAGACTGCACCTTGTTGTGCCATGTTGATGAAGCTCTGTGAGGAACGCCGCGCACGAAATGGGAGGCTAGTTGTTACGCGCTGATTGGCCCGCTAAAATATTGGCGATGTATCACATTTCAGAGGGTATTCACAAAACGCGATGCAAATATACACGCTTTTTATTAATTCTTAGGACATGCATGGCGCCAAATGTTATTAGTTGGGCTATTCGGTCGAAATATATAAACACATATTTGAACAGGATGTCCAAGGGAGGTAAATGCGATTCCTCCGCCGATGCAGGGGATTCTCGATGCAAATCAAGCCTAGGCGTATGGCGAGTGTGTAAATGTCATGCATGTCGTCTTGGAGGACTATGACACTACATGCAAGCGGCCTTCCACAGTGTCCATTTATCGAGTATGGCCGTGCGCTTATGATCGATCCATGGGCAACAGCACCGCGCTCACGATATGTAGCCATGACTGTATCCCACACGAATGACTGCAATATTCGACGCAACATATCAACTACCACCCTGGGGTCTGCTTCAAATTCCACACCGTCGCGACATGTGGTTTCTTGGCCGGGTCCAAGTTGGTGTCCTTCAAGTACTCCTTGGCCTTTTCGGCATCCATTTGGTTGGCGCGGAAGCATCTCCACACGTCACTCCATCGTCCGTCGCACGTGTCGGCTTCTCCTGTTCGGTAATACGTCCGTGTCTGGTGTCCTGCCGCTACAAAGTCATGCGAGAGGTGAGGCCTCCATGCTAGCATTCGGACGCGCCACTCAAACTAGTCCTCGATAGCTTCATATAGGAGTAGGATGTAGTTTACGTACTCACGCACGCGAAGGCAGTGTCCAAGATGGAAGCGCACGACAGCTCCACGCGCTGGTCGTCGTCCTTACCAAAGCTGGTGGTGGTCGCCATCGTCGTGATTGTAAACTCGCAATTGTCCGATTAATTAACCGGACAGTTGTAGTACCGTATTTGTCATACCTTTGCACCATGGAATTAAATTTGAAGAATTTATTTAAATATTTGAATTGGATAATTGATTCAAGATTCTATTGAATTATAGAATTATATTCGCGTTTTGTATTCAAGGTGCAGATCAACGAAGGGAATTAGTATTAATAGTACTTAGTAGTATAATAACTTACCACGAAAGGTCGTGAGTTGATTACCATAAAGCAGCATTACTTGTTCATGAACTTGACAAGACGACAAGGAGCTACTACACCAGTTAACAATTCACTTAGTTAATCGAGGCATAGCGTAAGTTTGGGACATCGCAAAGAGTTGGGAGTATGTACGTACATGGGGCTATTTTAAACCACAGTTTCGACCTGAGCTATCCTCCTTCCGTGCGCCGAACATGACCGAGCCTAACCAAGAGTCCCAGCATACTACCCCCACACTCCCGTCGGATCCTGTACGTACATTCCTCTCGTCCAAATGCGCTTACATCAACGCTACTATTACATGTAGGTTGGGGACATTATTGGGAGTACTTGCGTAAACTCGACCTCCGACTCTCCCAATCAAACTGTACTGCACACCACTACTGCGATCAATTCCGAGCCCTTTCTTCTTGACTAGGTGGATCGAACATCCACAAATTCTACCTTAACAGCGCTTAACCTGAATCAAGTCCGTCGAGCGTCATATGAAGACAACGGCTCCAAATCTGCCCGAGATCACAAGGAACCCCTTCCGCCACGCTCAACTACATGTACTAGTGCCAGACGAAGCATCAGTCAACTGACAAAGGAAGTACTGGTCGAACCCCTTCGACGAACGTCTATCAACAAACGCAGTGACGTACTAGTGCGTATTCCCTACAATCTCGCAGCCAACCTTTAGAGAGACTCATGAGCTCCGATAGCCAACCAATCCAGCAGCAGCAGCAGCAGCCACCACAGACGACACGGGGAGCCAGAATATCGCCGAGGTAGGTTAGCCCATGCCGATGATATGATTGATCTACTTATACATTAGGACGAGTTGTTTGCAGCAGTGGACGAGGCGCTGGTGCCTGAAATCGAAGCGTATCTGCGTGAAAAGGCATTGTACACACTACACTCATTGAACACGTATTCAATCTCTGACTATGCGTTTTGTATTTACGATAGATTCAATGCAATCGAAGCGACACAAAAGCCAAGGACATTCGAGAGTGTACGAATAGCCCCCCCCACTCTGCCCTTATCTCGTGCATAAACGTGCTGAATTGTTCGTTATAGTTGTGCTGTCGCGACTGTCGAGCGTGCAGATTCGACAAGTGTTGCCGCCGTTGCTGGCAAAGTTGCAGAGCGAGCTGGGGGGGTCGACGATCGCATTGGACATCCAAACGAGTTTTTGCATGATGGAAGACCTGTTCAGCGACGACCTCGGTCGCGCCTCGCCTCTGGTTGGGATGTACACGGACGAAGAAGAAGACATGCTCAAGAGCTTAGAACTGCGCACGGTGTTGTAAAACGTTAGGTAGTATACAGTAGCTAACGTTACTGCATTCAATATAGTAGCTAACTCCTACTATTTCAATTTTCGTTGCTTGTATTGGAAAGCAAAACGACTTTGCCTACGTTGATTTGTACAAGAATGAATGGCTCGATAAGTGATCGATTGGCCGACATGCCATTGAAGATCTGCCACGCGACTGGCTTGTAGTCGACAACGTACCAACAAGGTAGTCTCTACCCTCGGTCTCGATCATGAGGAGGCCGATAGTGTATACCAACTAACTACACATGTCAATCATATCGCCGCATACTGTACTTACAGCTTGTGATAGCGCTTGGCCTATGGTTGGCAATGATCTCAATCGTGGTAACCTTGATGGTGTTCAGGGATTCGTCCTTGTTCAATGGGAACCACCCACGCAGAACCACATGCGTTTGCCAGGCTCGAGGTCGTCCCATAGGATTCGAACTGGGGGGTACGTGGACGGTCGAGCCAACTGATGTCCTGTTGGACACAGGGACTGCAGGTTTGACCACATTGGTCTAACATGTCCAGGGAAGTGTTGGTCTGTACAGCTTCTTGGCCACGTATTCAGTCGCCGTCGCCCAGTCTTCTTATTCGTTTGCCCCACCCACCCCACACAACCTTGTCGACAAATGAGTAGATTGTCATGCAAAATCGAATTAGGCGGACGAAGTTGGGGTTCATTACAGAGCATGGATTCGTTCAGAGCCGACTGAAGTTGACTCATTCATGTGATTGAGTTCAGGATGTTGGCAAAGTGTCATTCGTTAAGGACAGGGCGACAACGACGGTCCAACACACCTTATCTGCATGACGTGATGAGTTCCAATGGAGACTTTTCAAGCAGTGCATGACCTCATGTAAAGATATATACAGCAGCCCAGGTCAATCGAGCCACTTGGAAGGCAGTGTAATTGTAGCTATACATATATTAAATACATCTATATCTAGGGATTCACTTGCAACCACAGCCAACCAACCATGCACATGCCACCGCAGACAACACACGTAGCAAACAAAATTCTCGATTGTTTACATATACTACTGTACACTGTACTGCACCTTTTTTCAGTTAATTTCAGGACCTCACCATACTTTTTCGCGAAATGAACAAGCAATTCGCGGCGGTTCCACTTCGTTCGTTGTATATTCGTTATATTTCGCCTACCAACCAAGTAGGTTGCAGTATATTTCAAGCGACTTTCATCGACGATCCATACCTGCAATGACTTCGTCGGTGATGTGCTCAAAGTAAGCCATACGAAACTCGTTACAAGTTTATCCGTCAGGACGAGGTCTCATAAACGAAGCAAGGCGCTCGCGCAGCAACGTGTTGCTGTAGCCCTTCATTATGGACCAAAGATTCTCGATGGGGTTGGCGGCGTGGCTATGAACACGTCAACTAGGTACATAGGGTATGTATTGGAACGTACTGGTGTGGCAAGCGCTTG